ACATAGATGTTACAAGGTTGTTACATAGTTGTTACAGCATTGTTACAAGTGTTACGAGAGTTTGGAGTGAAATGAAAATTTCACAGATAATTGTTACAAATGTTACAGGTTGTTACAAGTGTTACAGCAGAAGCCTTAAAAATGGTCAGAAAACGGAATGAATAAGGTTACATAGATGTTACAAGGTTGTTACATAGTTGTTATAGCATTGTTACAAATGTTTCGAGAGATGAGAGTGAAACGAAAATTTCACACATAATTGTTACAAATGTTACAGGTTGTTAAAAGTGTTACAGCAAAAACACTAAAATGACCAGAAAACGGAGTTAATATGGTTACATAGATGTTACTAGGTTGTTACATAGTTGTTACAGCATTGTTACAAATGTTACGAGAGTTTTGAGTGAAATGAAAATTTCACAGATAAGAAATTTAAGGAACAAACTTGTTACAAATGTTACTGAATTTACATGCGTTACGTAGGTGTTACTTAGTGTTACGCTTGTAACAAATGGCAAGTGTTTCATTAAATTGCGCCCATTTTGTGCCCTACGTGAATTCAGATGGTGAAAATATAATTTTCAATCTTCCACAACAATTAAAACGTTTTTGCACAGCAGCATTGCTTTGGAAGTCGTTGTGCATACCCCAAAGGGAGGCATATTAGTTTTGAACTGTCCGTCTGTCAGTCCGTCAATCTGTCCGAAAACTTTAACATTGGCCATAACTTCCTTATTAGTAAACGGATTTGATTCATATTTGAACACAACATCCCTTAGCACAAGACCTTCCTACGGACCTGTATTTTTTTACCTTGACCCCTGAATGGCCTTTACCTTGAAGGTCAAATTGTCCGAAAACATATAAGATTGGCCATAATGTCCTGGCATAATGTTTAGGCACAACACAACTTTGGACAAGGCCTTTCAACTATCCTATATTCGTTTGACCTTGACCCCTGAATGACCTTCACCTTGAAGGTCAAATTGTCCAAAAACTTAAAAATTGGTCATAACTTCCTTATTAGTATACGAATTGTACTCATATTTTGAAACAACACCCCTTTAGGCAAGACCTTCAAACTGATCTGTATCTTTTTACCTTGTACCCTGAATGACCTTCTAGAACATCCAAAAACTCTAACATTGGTCATAACTTCTTTATAAGTAAGTGGAATTAATTCATATTTGGACACAATGCCCCTTTAGACAAGACCTTCCAACTGACCTATATTTATTTCACCTTGACCTTGAATTACCTTCACATCGAAGATCTAATTGTCCAAAAACAAATAATCTATCTGGTCCATAAATCAAAGGACAAAGCACCACTTCAGGGGCATTGTCAACTTACAGTGATAGTTCTTGTTTTACATAACTTGGTCAGTCTTCAGCTCAGGATAAACACATGTATGTGTGTATCACACAGATTGTGAAATTGTTGAAATATTCATAAACACCCCGTGATGTTCACTCGTGCCACACTAGAGTATACGAAATAAAATACCTGATTTACCTCCACTGATTAGTTCTTCTGTTAATCTGATGACTTGTGAATATGAGAATAATTTTCAAAAAAAGAAAAAGGAAGAACTATTTCAAAGAAAAACTATTATACAAAAACGTTTTGATTGGTTTTGGTAGATTGAAAATTGTATTCTTGCCATTTGAATTACATATTAAAACCAGACAAGCACTGCGCTTGTCTTGCTCACAACGAGGTTATGGTGCTCACAACGAGGATCAAAGCAAAAAAGAGTATATCTTTGTTTCTATGAAGACTTTCAGATAATAATTTACGCTGAAGACTTGTTGGCATCTGTTTTAGGTTAGAATGCACAAAATGTCACCAGAATCGACGTTTTCAATGTTAAATTAGGTCCAAAGAGAAGTTGTCTCCAGTTTTCCAGCTACCCCGAGTGACTGCGTCGCACGGTATTTCCATCAAATTGTCCACCAACAGGTAATATCTTTACATGTGCATACTCAGAAAACACATCGCTAGCTAACTGCATTCCGATATTTTTACATAAATGTCTGTAATCTTCAAAAATTATGAAAAACTCACCTGGTTTATCGTGTCACACGTCATAAATGGGTGCTCACAACGAGGAACGGAAGTTGCTCACAACATTTTTACCGATGGACATTTTTCACTCGTTGTTAGTTAAACGGGCGTGTTGCCAGATAACTAATGCTTAATACTAGTACTACATTATAGAAACAAGGGGCATTGCAATATTTTCCTATACTTTACAGTGCTATACTTTTCTTGTCGTAAAATTCTTAGATCTTATCATAAAACACTTTTCGTTTCATTTTAATGAAAAAGAAAAAACAACAAAATGGAGAGAGGCACACTCTATTGCATCTTTTACATTATCCTTCTAACTGGGACAACTCCAGCACTATGTATTAACAAGGTGGAACAGGAAAAAGAAACTAACAACCAGAAACGATTTGGTGTCGCTGCTATTCCCGTTTATGCCGGTGCAACTGTTTCGCCGTGGGTATGGGCGGCGCTCATTGCAGCTTACGGCGCAGCGGAACTCTACAAATATTCCGTCAGCAAGACCTGTATCCTTTATATTTTTATGTTAACTACTTAACTTCGTTCGTGGATGGATTCATTCATTTGTCTTCTTCCTTATTTAGTACCCGTTTTCTTAAATTTCATTTAATATTCATTTATATATTATTCAATTTGTTATATTGAATAAAAACAATATTATTCTCCTTGAATCCAAAGAAGCAAGCGACAGTCACAGTTGTGCAAACAATAGAGGATGGTGTAGAGACACTTGTTTCAGTCATGAGTACATCGACCACTACCATACACCCGTCTGTGGCAATTACTATTGCTGCAGATCTGAGATCTAAACTTATTTTGGTATCCAAGTATTTTGAAATTGAAGAGAATAAAAGAAGTAAAGATATGTTTGTGTTGTTATCAGTCTTTTTTATGATGCATGCAATAATTCCAACGATTTTATAACTGTTTCTGCATGATATAAATCTATTTTATCCAAATATCACTAAATTTCTATAATAAAAAAAACTTTCCAGAGACATAGATAGGGCTTGTTGATAGTTTAGAAGACGCAGGCCTATTACTAGATTAACGAAGTTGTGGTATAACCTTACTAGATACTGAATTTTAAGTAATGAAATGATAATTTTAGTAAGTAAGTGGTAAATGTTCGGCAGTGTGATTAGGGCAGTTATTTTCCTTTGATAGAACTTTTGTCATTTCGTTTGTCATATTCTTCATGCATATCAAAGGAAATTGAAATGAACTTATTCTTGTGAACAAGTTATTTAATAATGAAATGAAATTAAGAGGGATCCAAATCAGGATGTTCTACTTTTTAAAAACTCAAACCCATGCCTTTTATTAGCGTTAATATATCTACATATACACGTTTTCCACCAAAACAGTGAAAATGGCGTATTTAACAAAATTGTAACAGCGATTAGGTTGGAATTCAAAGTTATAAGATCTTTATAGTTTTAAATTACAAAAATACGATAATATTTTTATGGGTTGTAATATTTTTAATTTTCTTCAGGAACAGTTTATCCAATACGTTAAGTTACGAACATTTATTACAAATGAAGTCGGTGCGAGGTGTTTGTTTGTGTGTGGTTTTTTTTCTTTTACGTTTTTTTAGGGGGAGGTAGGGGGGTCGGACATGGGTGATGATTAACAATTCATTATCTCTTATAAACAAACTCAATACAGTATAGTCGACGGCGACTTTTTGTTGTTGTAAAAATCTTTTGAGGGTTTCCAGATATTTCTCTTACCTAAACACATCCAGAAAGTTTTATTACCAGACAATTATCTTTTGTATATAGTAAAAGAAGTTTGATTTATTTTCTTATAAAATGTGTCATGACATGATATCATTCAGGATAAATTAACCCCATAATGTGATAACTGGGCAGCGTGTAATGTTTATGATTGTGTTCACTGAAAAAAATGTGCAGTTTTGTTTTATGCAGTTAATCCACTACTATATTTATCGTATTTAGGCAAAGTAAATGTGTTTACGTCAATATATAGTACTGTCTTCAACTTTACAAAGTTGCTGAATACTAGACAGTGTTTATTGTAGGTTGACTGCAAGCGGGTAAACTACGTCAACACTACTTTAACATAAAAATCGGTTGTCTCCCTTTACACGAAATTCTACTGCAGTATGGACCAAAGCTCTATAAAAAAGTGTGTTTTGATGGGTTTTTTATAATCAACACCGAAAATGTATCATTGTTTGGACAGTATGACGATTTTTTCCTTATGGTGCTGATGTGCCATTAAATATTACCCCCATGTAAGCACCTCAGGTCACCCTGTCAGGAACTGGTTTTAAAAGAAAAAGTACCTGTTCATGGAGCGTCATCGGTAACATTCTTAAGTAACATATGATGCAATCTAAGAGATTAACATGTTCACGGGGAATGACTTCCATATGGAATTGACCATCGGTCAAAAATATGTGAATTTCCGCTGATCCATATGTGCACTATATCCCCAATCTTTGAAAGCAAAAGTTAATCTTTTACAGCGTTAATCTTTAAGGTTTTTTTCAACATTCATTGGAAATTCAATGTTTTTAGAATTTTTTGCCCGTATTCATGGACCCTTCGTAGATACATTTCCGTCGTGAGTTCTGGTGTGTTTAAAACATACAATGCTGATACAAAACGGACTGCAAGTGCAAAGTTATTCCAAATCTGACCGTAAAACGATCCGTAACAATCACCAAAACATCTATTGAGCTTTTGCTCCAAACAAAGAACTATGCCGTCAAAGATCCATAAATGAAGAGAGAAGTTAGTTCAGTCAAATGCGTAGAATTTACCGTTATCAGCGAAACATTATGATTGCCCTAAGATGATGAGCTATATCACATGTACACATTGTACATGTAAGTATTCGTTCCTGCCACTGTTTATACCCAATTAAAGACAGTTGCTTAGCTAGAATGTTTTTTAGTAGTACAAATTGAATTTCAAAATCTGCACGACTTGTTTGCCTAAAAATATTTTTTAAAAAATAGTGATAAAGATTAGAAAAACGAAAGGTAATACAATAACAGTTTGATCAAAATAAAATTGATAAAACAAAAGAATCAGAATCAACATTTCGACGAAAATATAAACGCACGTATCCTGTAAATTATTTATTATTTATTTAACTGATCTATTTTAGATTCAATATTAAGTATCAAAGGGACTCCACTGAGGCTTATTTTTTTTTTTTTTTTTTTTTTTTTTTTTTTTTTACATGACTGGTCTGCAAATAAAGATTTCGTTTTGTATAATTCTAGACCATCACCTTGTGTGCAAAATTTCAGATCATTCGCTAACATCATTTTTCCAGGATAAATATTTATTGTTAAAAAGACTCAAACATCAAAAAAGGTTTTAACATTTTTCACTCATACCGAGCTACGACTTTCAATTACCTTCTGAGTATATTTCTTTATCTTTCTGTTTCAAGTGCCCAAGTTGATTAATGTAAGAAAATAAAATTGTATGTTTTTAGACTTTTGTCCTCAATGGAGTTCCTTTTTCCTTTTAATCAATGAAAGTAGTAATGGATATATTTTAAATTATTAATTTTGATCCTGATCTTGACCATTTTTAATCATGTTTCTTTGGTATGTCCAAGTTATCATCTTCTTGTTTTGTTTGTTCATTAATACATGTAATATATTTATTTATTTTTAGTACATTCGACGTTCTTGTATAAGTAATAAGTGAATATTAAAAATGATCATAAATAGTATTACATTAGCTCTTGCTGCTAACAACAAAGAATAATGTCGAACGGTATCCAGTCGATAAAATACTAGCAAACGCATATAAAAGTTTTTAATTTGGTAATTTAATTCATACATACTGTCATGTAGTATTTCTATACAAATACAGTGGACAAAAATAGACAATTCAGAATGTTTCACATTCATTATTGAGATTCATATTGAATTCTATTGCAAGATTTTGGCGATTTTTAGGGCGTATCGACAAATTCAAAATCTAAAATGGCAAAATCAAGAGTCATAAGCCGAAACGACCATTGAAGAAGAAGAATGCTGATGTATCTACTGAACGGAACGACTTATCTACCCAAGAATTTTGTTGCAATCAATGTTAAAGAAGTTCGTGTTCACCTTAGTAAAATATCTAAATAAGTACTCCAAACACTCTTCTTGGGAAATGCTATAATAGGTGAGATGAATGACGCAAAAAATCACAATTGTAAAAAAATGACAAAAAAGGTAATAGCAAGTATATTGTCGGGGAATTTGATAAAACATAAAATCTTGAAACACTATTAAACAAGCACACGGGTGTATGCAGAAGAGTCAAAGAAAGTGCAACAAGATAATGCGATAAAATACAAAAGCAAGAAACATCTATTGTTGAGAAAACAAGAGAAAAATCAAGTTATTCAATTCTAACAAAAAGTTTACAACAATAATTTGGTGCTAGTTATCAATTCCTCTACAGAAGAGAGTGCTCAATGACAGTAAAGGGTTCTACACTGGAGACAAGTGAAAAATCATCCTTTGCAATTTGCAAAGTGACCAACTTCTGTTTGTCTTAATAGATTCAAAACTTTAAACCGACGATACTTTCTCTAATTCGTTTAAATGTATATAAATAGGCAATCAAAAGACATAACTGTTTCTTTGAATCCGAATGCGTTTAGAGGAAATTGAAGGACATACTGTTGAACATGACATGTGTTGAAGCTCTCCCAGTGTTATTAATCTTGAACAGTTGAATATAAGATGAAAGCTGTCGGGGTAGATCTCCGAAACAACTGTTCCAAAAATTAATCTCAGCATATTATATGAGTAAGGCAATGCAACAAAACAAAGAAAATGGTTGACCTCAAACAATTTGTAACATCAAAAGTTAATAATATTTCCCCCAGAATATTTTGCAGAAAATTTCACATGCGGGACATCAGATGAGGCTAAGAGCGCTTATTTAAACTCAAATGCATTAACACTCTATCTACTTTGTGTAATATATTTTAGTAAAATGGTGAACTGCATTTTTATTCATTTGTTTTAGACAATTTTCGAACATATTTTGGAACAGGATGTTGAAAAGGCCATGAATAATGAATTTAAGAAGGTATATTACTGAACAGGGGGATCAAGTTTCCAATATCGCAATAAAACAGCATTTTAAAGGAATATTCAGGCAAAATAATGACAAAAATATTTAAATGATCTTTTGTACTCAACTCGCGCTAAAATGACATTTCTAAAAGTTTCAGCATGAATTTCTGTTTCAATTCTATATATTTTGGATTTGAAGCATAAATATATCTATATATGTTGAACACAATTTAGATGCCAATAGAATCACCAAATAGTTTTAAAACAAGTCAGGTGACTTGAACAAATCCTTGAAGTTACATTAACCGAAACTGTGGATATTGTATGATTTAAACAAGTCAAAATCATTCATTTGACATGTTCTTTAACGTTTCCATAGTTCACTGTGACAACTATTGTGAAATCCTAGCGCTCTAACCTGACCCACGCGGGTCAGGTTAGGAAACCACCATTTAATTCTTTATATGGAGAAAAATTTTGTTCCTTTGACTGTCTAATATATTCATTTTTGGGGCATTTACAGAATTAGGAATAAAAAATTCAATACTAAGAAATGAAAATTTTGCCTGTGTCTCCCTTTAAATTGTGAGTAATCACCAAGAAATCAATTATACAAATGCCAACTTGAATTAATTTGAAACGGGTCACGGGAAAGGGATATTTGTATCCGACGAAAGCGGTTGCTAGATTTAAATTTAGAACAAAGAAATGAAGTAAATGATTTTCATGAATAGGGTAAAGAGTATCACATCACCGGTAAGTATGTTTAGTTTCGATAAAAATGTATCAATGCG